TGCGGTGCTGCGGGTACAGGAACCGCCTCGGGCCGAAGCCCCGCCTGCAACGTTCGCACACCCCGCCCGCTCCCTTCCCCCGGGCTGGGCTGGGGCGTTCCCCTGCCTTCATTCCTCAGGGCGGGATTGAGAGCCTGTGAAATCCCCCCGGACCTTGCCAGGCATCCTCTCCGCCCACCCTGACATCACCCAAAGGGGGCTGCAGGCGTGACCTTCCTAAGGGGCGGGTCTAGTGCGGCCCCCGGACACTTGGGGTTCATGACCGCTAGCCCCCCTTGGACGCTGGAGGCCTTTCTCATGGGGAAAATGCGGCCGACATTCACAGGCTGTGCCAAGAGTTTATACCCATTGGCGCTCCTCAGTCCTGTCCAAGCTGCAAAGGTGGTGGAGTGGGAAGGATTCAGAGAGGGATCCGCTTTAATCCTTCCTTTTACATCTGGGAGAAGGGGGACCCTGAGACATACGGCAACCGGCCCAGGAGAAATGAAAATCCGCTCACTCCCAGCGCATGGTCTGCTTCCCACCTCCAGATCAAGAAGCTATGTCTCAGGATTTATTATTTTTTTTCGTGATTATTGTTTATAGATTACTCGCAATTGTAAAATACGTTACATAGCCACTGTGTCAGATTCCTTTTCTTAGCAAGTTTGTGCTGGGGCTTGTAGTAACAGCTCTCGACTTGTTCGTTTGAAAAATAACACCCTGTAGATTAGAGTGCCCAGCAGCTGAACAAACTCCCCAGGTAAGATGTTTCCATATATTTAATAACACAGCAGTCGGTAAACAGTACAAAACGTATTCCACCAGTAATATCTCCAATTGGAAGGTTGATGCTGTGAATTGTTATGAGAAGAAGGCAGGGTGTGAGGTCGGAGGAAATGGCTTGGGGTCTTGGCTGCACCAGGGCCCTGTTTAACCAACTGTTTCTTAAACCTTCTGGGGGGGTAGTGAACTCCTTTACAATACAATCAGAGTTAACCCTCAACCTAGAAAAGTGCCCATTCAATCATAAACTACTTAACATAGGAACTCATGAAGTTCATGGTCACACGGGCTAAGGATTTCTGATGTGGCCTCTTTGGGTTTGAGTTGACGCATCTGTAAAACAGGAATGATCAACCGCCCTTCCTCGGAGTTGTTTGGAGGATCAAGTGAAAAATTGAGAGCGATCCAAAAGTATTCTGTGATAAGTAATAAGACACTATCCAAGTGTTTGGTGGATCGAGCTATTAAACTTTAACTCAAAATATGCTACTTAAGAGCCAAAGAGAAAAGATGTTTGAATTTTTTTCAAATGCTAGACAGGGAAAGGGTGTGTATCTTGGCGGGAGAGAGTGTATGTTTTAAACAACATTGAAAAATGAGTCATTAGACATGTACATAGCCTTGAGCCTTCTGCCTTTCTCTGAGCCTTAGATTCTTTATAACTAGATTCTAGGTAAGACCAAAGGATAAATAAAGCACCTAGTACAACATAGCTACTTGAAACGTTTTAGTTTCTCTTTTTTCAAAGTCCCCCCATGTCTTTGATCTTTGCCCTGATGATGATGATGATGATGATGATAGCAACCACCACAACAATCACTACCATTTGTTAAACACGGACTGTGCCAGAAACTGTGCTAGATACCCGATTCCACCCTTCAGGAGCACAGCGAGTGTCCCTAACATGCCTCCTCTCTTCCTCTCTCAGCCGTTGGCAGTTCATGCTTCAGTTCATAAGCCAGACTTACTTTTCTCCTTTTAAAAGTTGTTATAAAATATGTCCAGTTTAGAAAAACATAGTGAATAAAATAATCATGTACCTAACACCTAGCTTATGAAATATGGAGTCTCATAATTGAAGTCTCCCGTGTCCTTTCTTAATAGCATTCACCTTCCACTCCCCAGGCGTAAAACTGTCCTGATTTTCATGTTTATCCTTCCCATGACATGTATGTACTTTTATTATATCTACATATATAGTCATAACAATATGTTGTTTTACATAAATTTTATTATCACTATACATATCTTTCTGCAGTTTTCCCCTCAATATTCTCTTTATGAGAGTCAACCTCATTAGTAGCTCCAGCTGCATTTCATTCATTTTTTTACTGCTGTATACTTGTAACTCCAAGATTCCATGATGCCATGAATATTTCGATGTCTCCTTATACACATAAGCAAAATTTTCTCTAAAGTAACATAGGACTTAGAGGATCATTTCAATCAATATATTTCAATTTTACTGCCAGAAGCTAAAAATAAAAGCAACAACAAAAGTGGTAATAGGAATAAGTTAAAGAATTTAAAGATCTTCATGGAAGCACTCTATAAATAAACATTTTTGGAAGATATAAAGTACACCTGCCCTAGCTGGTTGTCTCAGAGCATTGGCCTATGGAATGAAGGGTCCCGGGTTCGATTCCGGTCAAGGGCACATACCTCAGTTGCAGGCTCCATCCCTGGCCCTGGTCAGGGTGCCTGTGAGAGGCAACCAATCAATGTGTCTCTCTCACGCTGAAATTTCTCTCTGTTTCTGCCTCTCTCTTCCACTCTCTAAAAATCAATGGAAAAAGTATCCTCAGGTGAGGATTAACAGGAAAAAAAATTAAAGTAGGCCTAAATTAGTGAAGATGTATCATGTTCATGAATGCAAAGTCTTGATATCACAAAGATATAAATTTTCTCCAAGTTATGTGATAAATTCAGTATGATTTCAATTAAAAATCTCAAGAGGATTTGTTTTCCTTTATGAAGCTTAACAATCTGATCCTAAAATGTATAAATTGTATCTTTTAAGATATATATGTAAACTATCTATTACTGGTATAAAGGAACATAAGTAATCATTGCAAACTTATGAACTATGAGGGATCTTTTTTCCATTGATTTTTTTAGGGATCTTTTTAAAATGTAAATTATGCAGTGTCAATTTCTTATTTAGAGTCAGCTTATGTCTTCCATTGCAATTAGAATAATATCCACATTCTTTATTATACGTGACCTCGACCCTGTCTACCTACTCCTCCTAATATCCTCAGAATATCATAATATGCCGGAAGCCGGTCCATCCTTGCTGCTTGACACAGTCGCTGCAGGAAAGAAACATCTGCACAGCATATGTTTCAAGGGACCTGGCATATATAGCATATTGTTCTTAATATGTTTGCTCTCCTTAGCGCCATGTGTTTTAACCAAGGTCACCTCTCCGAGAAAGGTTGTTTCCCCAGGTGGGGATTTTTCCCTGAGGTTAGGGAGGGGATACAACCCCTTAACTAAGTGCCAGGCGGGTAGTTAATCACTTTAACTACAAACAATCACGCTTAAGCTACATAATCTTTACTCCCTGGAATGGAGATAAGAAACGCCCTAACCTTTGCAATAGAAATTGACAGGATTAAAACCGACTGGTATAAATACAGATGTAACAAGACAATAAACATCAGATCCTGATCAGATCCTAACCAGAACTTGGCCAGAGATCGTGGCTGGAGATCCTGGCTAGGCTGCTGATCAACTGAAGGCTGTCTCCGTGTCATTCCTTCTTCGCCGACTCCGTCCACACCTTTGGGGACCCCTGGACCTGCTGGGGTTGGACCCCAACAATAATACACTCCCTTTTCCCCCCCACTAGTTTCTAACTCCATAGGCCTTTAATCTGGTCATTAAAAAATGCTAAATTCTTTCCTGCCTCAAGAACTTTCCACTTCCTGGATACTGCTCCTCTAGATATACCTAACCATGTCTGTCCCCTCATTAGTTGGGTCTAAGCTTGAAATCGCTACCTCCTCAAAGAAGACTTCCCTGATCCGATGGCCACACCCCTTCTCTACGTTCCCCCACCACTTTTCATCCTGTTACTCTGATTTATTTTCTTTATTGCGTTCACCAGTTATATGGAATTATTTTAGTTCTGTGTTTTTGTTTCTTATTTACCCCTCCTACTAGACTGTAAGCTATGGAATGGCAGGAGCTTGTCTTGTTTATAACTATAACCGAGCATTTTGGGGGCTCACAATATATGTTGAAGGAATGAATGTAAGGTAACTATTATTCCTGTTTTAGAGATGTGGAAACGGAGATGCAAAGAGGCTAAATGATGGCCTAAGACCATCAGCATATAATTTGAACCAGATCTGCCTGATTTCAAATCCAATTCTTTATACTCTTAACATTTCAGTTTATTTATTTTGATCACCAAAGATATAATACTGCTATGTGTCCCCTTGAGCTATAGCTAAAGTGCTAAATAAATACCAATCATGTTTGTTTTTTTTCTTGGAATTGCTTGCTTTAAAAAAATTTTTTTAATTATTAAGTTAGGAGAGAAAATAAATGTGTGCTATATTTGCATGATTATTAGCTATACAGTTTGACCTAAATGATGTTAATATTCTAAAAGTCATCAAAAGTGTCTTCCCTAGTTATTTAAATAAAAACCACAACCTTCAAAGTTATTTAGGTAAAGACCACAGATTATTATATTAATTTAAGGATAGATTCAAAGCCCCTGAATCAGAGATAATCAGAGATTAAAGGTGGCCTTCGTAAATGAATATTTGATCCTTCCTTTTCAACAAAGGAAATAGTAATCATATCTTTCACAGACAAAATTGATGGGGGGATGAAAAACACAAAATTCAAAAGTATTTACTTCAGTAAAGACACTCCAAATGATATATATTTACAGTTAATTTTCAAAATATATTTACACATTCTCACTTCACTCACAAAATAATTACAATGGCATAAATATTCTTATTTTTACAGAGCGTGCAAAGGCCAAGATCTAACCATAAGGCAGTGGCAAGAAAGAGTCAAGCCAAGTCCTCTACTTCAGGTTATCTGGCCGAAGGGCCATTTCTTTTATACAGTTATTATAATGAAGAAATAAGAACCATCAAAGGATGTTGTATACATG